CGAAGTGAACATCTGATTTTTACTTTTGCAAAATTTAACAACTATAAATTTATTGACTTTAAGCAGATCAGCAAGCAGTATTTCAAGCTTTATAAACAATAACATTATGTGTTATTAATTTGGTGTTAAGGGATGAGCGGTTTTTTGACATTAGCACAAACATTAGCAGTAGCTACTGCCCACATTAGCAGTAGCATTTTCCCTAAAATAAGCTTTTCAGCTATTCTTTTATTTATTAGCCATGTTTAGCACTCTGAATGGAGGAAGTCAATGTAAGACAACATGCTAGTTATACTCCTCATGTCACATTTAGGCTAGCATTAGCATTTTGGCAAATTTTAGCTTATACACTAATTTTAATATACTACATGGACATGTTACTCAACATGCTTGTGACTCTCCACATGCTATTGAGTACATGGTAGCTTACTTTAGCTTTGATGCTAACTCTAAGCATCAGAACGCTGGGTTCTAACCAACAGGCACACTTTAGTAGGCCAAGTTTAAATTACTTAAGAAATGTTATAGTTTTCTACTTTATTCTTATGTATCACCTGAAATTATTCTGTTTGACCACATGAGGGCAGCACTGCTAGTTTCAAGAAACTCCAAAAAATCTCTAAATATGTTCTTCAAGCTGTGAAGTTTTTTTTCTCATCAGTAGGAGTTTGTGTGACACTAGACTTTATTTTAGTCAATATACCACTGAAGACAGGTGCTCTGTCTTCAGTTTTCTGGTCAGCCTTATAAGAAAATATTATAATTAATGGGATAGCTCAAGATTTTTAAATTATTAGCTAGTGTTTTATAGTAAACTGATATTAGTTTGCCCTGGTTAGTTTAAGAGGTTGCCAAAACCAAAGTAGACTTTTAAAAATAACTTAAAGGATCAAAGTGGTTTATGTCAAATTTACTTAAACTGTTATAATTTTAATAATAGGCAGTTATTTACAAAATCATACTGTTTCCATTGAAATCCAGGTTGGGAGTGGTTGACCAACAGTTAGCATCCTCTTTGAAACACCTACTAAGAAATAAATATATAAAAATATCCCCCCAGACAAACTACCTAATGATAAAGGAAGAAACTGTAAAAATCTGAAAACACTACATGTTCTGCTCACAATATGTTCAAATAAGGAAGATTGGTTTTTGTGTCCAGCCTTCTACCTCTATGTTACACATAAATATTCTTTGGTTTCTCTGTAAATTATCACCTAATGTAAACAAAAGATAAGTTTATTTGTTAGAACAGGCTACATGGTGTTGATTAGAGTTGTTTTAACACAATAGTCCAATAGTAAATTGATACATTTAGCAAGCTTAAGTATGTTTTTTTATGACATGTGCATTTAATCTGTAGAATAGCACAGTGAGATTTTTCTTTGTGAATATAACAATTTAGCTCAGAATTGGAAGTGAAATCTGCACCAGACCCGGAATATAAATGAATAACAGATCAAGCAACTGCCCCAGGGAGCCACACAGTATCACAACTGTGCTTTACCTTTTAAATGTCACTGAAAGGACACAACTAAAGAGAGACACAACATGACTTAAAACACACACACATACACACCAGAGTCACTGTAAAATCTCCATAGTAATATAAAATAAATCATAAATGTTGAAATTTAACTAGAACTAAAAGAGAACTAAAACAAAGCATGACAGTTAACACAAGAAATGAAAATGATTAATAAATATCAAATCAATACAGATATGATGACATACATTGTTTTTGTGAAAATTATTTTCTTGCTATTGTCATTATAACCCTTTAACTTTTTTTTGTTTTGTTTTTTACTTTAAGAATTCACAGCAAAGACAGAGACTTTCCTACTGAAACATTTTTCATGACAGAAAAATCAAAAGAACAAAGTAAAAAAGTAAAGCAAAGCACTTGAAATTCTACCGTTGTTGGTATATCAGTCTTATGTTGTCCAGAAAAATTGTCTTCAAAGGTAAAGATCTCCAAAGACGTGACGAGAAATGTAGTTTCTTCCTCTCTGGAAGGCTGTGATGTTATTTGACAGTTTGTTAATTTCCCTTGTTGTACTGTGCCCTGAACCACAGTAGACTAACAGCGTAACATCGGATTAAGCTAATATCCTTGGTTGGTTAATAACCCAGTGAGAAAGTATTTGTGAATAGCTATAATGGATGTATTGTATGTTTAAAAATAATCCTTAGATATTTTAACAGTATGGAATGTGAAAGGTGCTCTAGAATCATAATACATTTCTTTTTTTATATAAACTAAAATAACATCTGACAAAACAGACAGTGGAAAAGTTTATGGTCTGTTGTCCTCAATGTGATTTCTTGTGCAGCATTCTGAAAAGTACAAACCTCAGTTTATATTACAAGTGCTTAAACACATTATTGCGACTAGAATTACTTTAGGACATATTTGCTTGTTAGCTTGAATGCAAAATTATTTGGAAAGGTTATTAGGGTAAGTAGACTAAAACCCATTAGGTTACTTATTTTTACATTTTCAGCTAATGACTAACATTAATATTGCAAGAGAATCTTTCTCTAACTCCCACAAAGAGAAATTGTCATCCACATTCAATAAGAACTTGTTGCAGCTCTCCTTATCAGGCTCATACTCAGGATTGATCTTTGGTATCCAATGCCTGATTAATTTTGCCACACTTAATATATCTGTTGTATCTGATGCCAGTAACTTTATGTTCTTGAAAGGAAGACTGAGTTAGGTAATAATTGTAATGTCAACTGCAGTCTGGCCTACAAAAGTATTCATGTCCCTTGAACCGTTTTTACATTTTGTCACATTGCAAACACAAATCTTAGATTGATCTACCTCACTTGTTTCCCATGACCTTATTGAATAGTTATTTTACTTTTAGGTCTTTCAACATAACATTTGACAATGTGAATACTGTAAAGAACTTTCCATTCGTAACCCATGGGGTTTATTACAATGCATTGATTTTGTTATGAGTCTGACACCACAGAAACTCTAACAATGCTTCAGGACAAAGTAATCCACATCATGCTCTAAATTTGTATAGTCACTTTGAGTCTTTATTCATTTCGTTATGTCTCTGATGTACAGTAGTGTTATTAGAGAATAAGATGACAAAAAGGCACAAATTCACAATAAAAGAAAAAAAATAGGAGACAAGGTAACAGGAGTGAGAGAAAAAGAGAGACAGAGAGATTTAAAAAGTTCAGGATTATGGAATCATTTGGTTTCTTCATACTCCAATTAAAAATCAAGGAATCTAAAAAGAGATATATTAGATTGTCTCTGTTAAAATATGTTCTCTCATAACTTTTGTGTCTTTGAGCTCTTAAAATCACCCTTCTCTCAGCATCTGCTTGGAAACCACATTCCTTATCAGGGTTCTTCTGTGCTTCCATTGAAGGCCATGTAGGATAATCACCCTTCACGTCTAACGACGGGAGCGCTACAATCCGACATGCATCGGGGATCCACTTCGATGACTTTGCCATGATGTGGATGAATGCACTGACCCAAGCTACAGTAACATCTACCTTTTCAGTGAGAGAAGAGAGTGTAATCCAGAGACTGACAACAGAGGTACTACAACATTCAGAACAAAAATATATATTTATACACTGTCCTGCCAGTGAGAGGACGTCCCCTCTGAGGGTACAGTGAATGGGGTGCTTGCTTCACTTCAAATGTTCTCCGAATACAAATGGCAAAGCTCAGCTCCTAGCTGCTGCTAATTTTTTTTTATATGTAAAATTTGTTTTCCTAAATAAATACATTTCATATTGTTCTTCACAATTTCTTACCTGCACTAAATTTTAGCTACTATAACTCTACATTTTCACACTCAAATGTTTCTGTAGGAGTCTGTGAGGTTTTTGAATAATGGATCAGGAGTGTCTGAGAGGGTGTTGTGCACACTTGGCAGGACAGTCTCATCTATATATATGTGTTCATCTACATTAATTTATTTACTATTTACAAAGTCAGTACACACAGTACATCCACAAATCTCCATGACCCAGTTGACAAACCCAAACAGAGAGGGATGATGGACACAGACGTGGAGGGGTGGGACATCCATGTTCTCTTCAGAGGAGGTAAAAGACAGTGGGAAGCAATTTGGCTGTTGAGGGCCAAAAGTGCCACAAGTCAATGCATAAAAGAGATGTTAAGTAAACATATGTACATGTGATTTAAATGAAATAAAATCCATTAATTTAACACAAAATACTTTATTGAAAATAAGCTAAACAAATAGTCAAATACGTTGTTAAATTTGGAAATAATTACTTAAGTTGTCCATTCAATATGTTAAATGGATGCTTGAATGTGTCAGTATTTAATCCCATATTGCATGTCATCAAGAAGGTCAGTGGGCGGGGCTAACTGCCCTGCAGATGGCACTTACAGATGATTGGTCTGTAATTGAGCTGTGTGACTTGTGAGTACATGATTTATTCAACATATAACTGTTGATTTTCACTAGTTTTTTTTAAAATACATTTGTTTAATAAATAATTATATAAATACAAAACAAAATAACATATGTATATTGAATATATTTATTGGCATTTTATTTAAAGTCTAACTGATATAGATAATTATTCATCAATTTATTAGTTCATTGGATTGTGTCACTTTTGATCCCTGGTAGGCCTATTGAATTATACTGCTGTGAAAAAAAAACAACTTCTAACATAATGAAAGAAGATTCTAAAAATAATAGATAATAATAGTTGCTCTGTCTAATGATTTTATCTCATATTGTTTGTTAAATTATTTAAATGATCAGTTCAGTTTCAGGGTTTACTGTGAAACACAACAAAACTAAGAAATGACTGAATTTGTCTAGACCTAATAAACTGGCTTAAACCTAATTTAGGATTAAAATTAAATCAGTGATGATGTGATGATGACTCATCCTTGCTCCAAACAAGCATTCCCGTAAGCACAATTTCTAACAACAGAGGGATCAGTAAAACTTTGTAAAATGTCAAATTAAACCTGGTTTTAAAAAAAAAAAAAACTGACTGTACTTCATGTGGTTTATGTCTAATGAAGGCCAATGGGAAGCCCTTCCACTGAATCTTTTATTATTGCAAATAAATATTTATATAGACTCCACATATGTGTCCAGAATTAAGCCTTTGAAATTGTTGGACCTAAAGTTCCAAAAATAAATATAATTTTGTATTTTATTGTCTCCAAAAAGATTGAAATTGATTAAAATCTATACCATTACGTAAGTTTATTGAATCAAATATCTGCTATAGCAACAACAATAAAATACGCATGGATTTTTATTTTTTAATTTTGTGGCAGTTTTTTGTAGCGATCCAAATATAATCAATCTAAGCATCAATGTAATTGATTGGCTCCTATATGTGCTCTCTTGCACACTCTCCTGTTAAAGTATACGGAATAATAAAAGTGTATGAAATCTATAAAATAAGAAAAAGAACAATAACAGGACAAAAGAGACGATAAAAACAGAGAACAATAATGTCGAGTCAGCTGTTCCTCACTTCTTCACCCAGTCGTTCATCAGCTCTCTGCAAACTGTCACATCACTTATCGTTACTCATTCCGTCCTACGCACAATACCAGAGAAAATGAGTAAGAACAATGAAATAAATAACAAGATAACATTCTATGGAAAAACTGACACTTAAAACTAGCACTTCTGTTGAGCTAATGACATTCAGTTCAGGCTCTGCTTTCCTAAAACTGACCTCACAACAGAAACAAACTAAGGACTAAAACAGATTTGTGATGATAAAAAAGGAGACCAACACGTCATGATAGTTATTGCTTTTGCTGGATAAGACCATTTATCCACTGGAAATGACAAGTCAAGAAAAAAAAAAACCCAAAAACGACAGTCCTCAAATCATTTATGGCTGTTTTCATTTACTGTAGCAACTGTGATTAATATTTTGTGTGCATCTTTTTAGACTATTTCTATCTAAATATTCATAGAGTTAGACATAATCTTCATATTACTGCATGTTCATCCAGAGCTCTTGAAACAATGTTTGAAGAAAAACCTGGCTGGAAACTTTGATGACCTATCAACACACACCGGCACACAACAGAAGCATGTACACACACAGACACACATACTGACAAAGCAGCAGAAAAACTGACAAACGCCTTGAAGTCGGAAGGCAGGTACTGGGGATAAAACCTTACTGGCTGGTTAGAAGGACACAGCAGACTGCATTACACTCTACTGATGCGCCACTGTGACATTTTGTCTAAAATATGTCCTTAGTTGTAGAGATGAACAACAGTGTCCTCACTGTTCTCTGCAGTTTAGAACAAAAATTGAGAGAAAAAGATCGGAGTAACTCACAATATCAGTAACGGTGCTACTGGAGGCTTTAAAAAGTTTAAGCTAGATGGAAACAGCAAATGAGTAAAAACAACGAAACAAAATAAGACAAGAAGGACTCAAGGAAGGACAGACGATGTAGAGGAGATCAGCTAAAAACTGGGAGTGCACTGGGTCCAGGTCCGAGAAGACCAAAATGTACTGCGGAAAGTAGGATTTGGACCGTCCAGTCAGACGTATCAGTTGAGACAAAAGGAGGAGTGAATCCGCTGGTTTCAGGTCTAATCTGGTGGGAAAGGGAGACATGAGTGAGAGAGAAAAAAACAAAAGCAAAGTCTGAACCATGAAGAAACAAAGCTAACGTGTAGATATGCTGACAGACATAACTACACATCTGTTTCCATTGCAACTCTGGTTTACCTGATGAGCGGCAGCATTTATGTCCAACAAAGTCTCAGTCCTCTAGAGCCACCATTCCTTTCACAGGATCTTTGACTCTCATCTGACAAGAATATACAACAACATCCTCATTAGAGATACACTGAGAAATCATTGAATGAAGGGTATTGGATGATAGATGTCAGACTAATCACAACCTGTGTTCAGCTGCAATGGGGTTGTATCATAAGTGCTATTGTAAAGATGTTTAAAAATGAAGTGAGGTGAAGCACCAAAAAGTGTGAGAAATTTTTAGAGGAAGCTGCTACCTTTAAATAGAGAGAAACCTCAGCAGATAACAGGAAGGCTCCTTTGCTCTCAGGGTTTCTTAGAAACTTAATTTTAATAAAGTTAAGACCTTTTGAAAAATGTTGTGCTTTAAATCTAAGAAGTTGTAATATTTAAAGTAGAGTAGAACAATCTTTTTAACTCCGTCTTTGTGAAATATGAATTTACAAAAATCGCCATTAGCAGATTGGAACTTAAAAAACTGATAATCAGAACCTGGCCCCAAATTCTCAGGTCATCCTGCATCTGAAATGTCAGTCCAGTGGGTTTTAACTGTAGATAATTTAACATCCTGGGTTATAAGGAACAAGTTTTATATAAGTGTAAGAGATTTGGGAGTGTGTGGTATTTCTTTTGGCTTACTTCATCTAGCTCCCTACGAGTCTCCTCCTCCATGCGACGAATATCGTCCATGTTCAGTTCAATCCACTTATCAATCCAGCAAAACAGTTGGCGGTGGAAATTTGTGAACAAGCGCTTCTCTTGCTGTAAGACAACAACGGAAAAAATCAAATAGCTTATTGTGGCCCAAGGATAATAGATGCTTATTTCCTTATGAATGGATATTAATAGCATTATCTTAATTATTTATGCTTTATTACCAGACTTCAAGCTGCTGTACTGCCAGCTATTCTTAGCACATTAAACAAAAATAAGATCTGGAAATTCAGTAAGAAATGTATTTTATTCCTTGACTCGACCACTATCTTGTACAAAAGTTGAAAAGCATAACAATGCAAGAACAAACAACAACAGTCAACAAACCTTTTGGATAAAGTTCTCCACTTTATTCTGCAGACCCCACCACTTGAATTTGACAGTGACCAGTTTGTAGGCACACATGTGTGGGCAGTCTTTCTTGTTAGGAAGCTCCTTCTGCATGTAAACAGAAACACTAGCATTAGGTTTGTCATAGGCAATGGAGACCTACTGATACACTTTTGGACTCAGATTTAATGCTTTAACCAACTGCTTATAGATCTGTAACAGAAATGAAACAAAGCCTAATATAATTACCACAGCTATTTCGGTTGAGGGGCTGATTATGGGCTGTTTCTGCATTAGGGTACAAAAAGGCTTTAAAGGTTATTGTTTCAAAAGCACAAAAACATGTTCTCATACTGTTCCCAAGTTGACGAGAAAGAGTCAGAAGAGTCAGAGTAACAATTTTATGCAGCTTTTGGGAGCAATTGGTGCATTTTATTTATACATGGAAGTCATGTTTTCTATGTTCCAAGACAGAAATACGACAAGGACATTCAAAGCTGAAATTATGCTTTGGGAAGTTGGAAATTAAAGGTGCAGGTGGTAACTATTACAGAAATTTGTGTCTTCTTCTTGTGTCTGATCCCCTCAGGACAAAATGTTAGCTTAGAGAACGCTCACTAGACGTCATAGCTGCTGGACAACACATGCCAGTGGGAGGGAGATATTTTTTCATTTGGCAAATTAACAGAGACGAGGTCGCATGTGTGTTTTATGGACGCTAACAATGAGACATGGTCCAACACCAAATTAAAGTATTAAGGAACAGTACACGAAACATAGGAGGAACTGAAAATGTATCTCTTTAGGTTAAGTTGCTAATATCTTTTAGAACAAAAAGTTGAGAAAAACATGAAAGTACCCTTCCACCTTGAAAGATTTACACGGGCTTTGTGCACAATTAACCTTCAGCTGTTTCACAACATGTGAAAACCAAATGCTAGAAAAGCCACCGCAGAGAGTAACAACAAAAAAAAACATTCCAAAACCCTGTAATGAAACCTCTATGAATCTATTTCTTGACACTGGAATTTATAATGTATTAACAGGAGGTAATTCATAATACAAAATGTAACATTTATTGTTAAGATGAAAATGTTGGTATTGTTTACCTTCCAGTCTGGTCCTAGAGGACCTCGTCCTGTCTTTGCTGACTTGAACTTGCAGGGATCCTCCTCTGGTTTGTAGTCCTGATACAGACAAGATGTATGTGGGGCATGTAACAATACAAACAACAGCTGTATTCATCATTCCGGCAGTAAAAATGGGCTGACTGATTTACCTTTGGCTCCACCTGGCTTCTGTCTGCAATATCAATATAGACTACATCCACCTTTTTCCAGGTTTCTGCATCCAAACCGTGTACCTAAGACACAACCACAGGGCAAAATCAGAAAAAAATTGTCTACAAATTTAAATTACATGCAGAATTTGTATGCAACGTGTTCCTAATGTCATAGTTATAAGCCTAAGCTCAAGAAAAAATACAATTCAATAAATGTTTACCATATAAAATGACACAGAAATGAAAGAATTGATAAAAATCATGTTTGTGATCAACATTTTAAAATAATAAACTTCATGGTCCTTATGATTGTAAGTAATAGACCAGCATAAAATAAATAGATGTGGTGTAGGAGGAAAGTGATAAATGGCTTCGAATTTTTGTTATTAATAAAAATCTAACAATTGTAACATGCATGATATAATATTACCCTGTGAAGAACTGTCAAACAAAAAAAAAACACATTGCTAAACATACTCCAGAAAGATCTGTAGCTCTTATTTCTGTGAAAATAGTTGTACACAATGCAAGCCGATGTAACTCCACACTTAACAGTATTTGATTTTATTAAATAACACAAACTAAGACATTTTGAAAACCATGTATCATATTTCTTCCACTATACAATTAAGCACTTTGTGTGGCTCTATCATAAAAACATCCCATTTAAACAGGCTTTTATGTAGTGTGACAAAACGTGATTTGTGTTGACAATTTATTAAAGTTCTCTCTTTCATACCTGAATGCATAATTTTGTTCAGACATGAAAATACACTCCCATAGCTTATGATCTTATTCACTAACATTTTCCTGGCGTCCCATGTCAGGTTTGTGCCACGTCTCAATCTTGATCAGGAAGTTATCTTTCATATACTCATTCTGCAAACAAAAACACAGACAATCCAGAATGAAGGGAGTAAAGCACTTTGAAAGAATCCCTTGTAAAAATCTATAAAAGGTTCAGCTGACAGGGATCGGTATCTTGCTGTCGTTCACTAACACCCAGCTACACAAACACAGTCACAGTGTATTGCTATCCCTGTTACAGTCTCACTAAAAAGATCACATTTCTTTCTCGGCTTTCAGGTTAGGCACCTTCTCCTTGTGCACCATAGCTTAGTGTGTCGCATGTGTTGATTTCTGAATTCTTCAAAGCAAACACAAGCAAAGGAAATACTCACAGTGATGACTGCAGAGCCAGGTGGGGGGAGAGAGGGTGCAGCCCCAAACACACAGAGAAAGACACAATTAACGACAGCAAACAATATCTGAGAAATCTATTAGCATTTGCACAAGCTGGCAATCTCAAAATGATACGAGAGCAGTGTTTGAGATGCAGAGTTGGTTTGTGCCTTTAAATGTGTTTGTGTGACAGATGGCCGTCTGGCAGCTGGCAGTGTGTACGGGTGGCGGGATCTTTGCCTGAACGGCTCAAGTGATTGCGCGGCTCTTCTCACAGGACATGTAGTAAATTATTCAACTACTCCTTGAAAGTGACAGAGACCCAAAGGCACAAGGAAAGAAGAGAGGAAGAGAAGAATCTAGAGCATGATAGCACTTTTTTACCTGAAGCCATTTAAAACGTTCATAAATACATCTTTTTGAAGACAACAACAAAGAAATCTGCATTGTTTTCTTTAGCTGACAAAGACGTCACACCGAAATGTGCACTGGGCATGTAAACAAAACTGTTAGCATTAGTAATTTAGCCGGGAGGTTAGCTCCATTGCAGGAACTTGTTCACAACTTATTCCCAGAAGGGATTTGGAACGTCCAGGGTCTGGTCCAAAAGTAGATCATAATTAAAAAAAATTAGGCTCAAATCTTCAATCAAGTCTTGACGAAATGACTGTACTTACTAGAAAAAAACCCAATCAGGGTTTTGCAGAGCTCTAAAGTATGTTAGTCTGTAAATAGTTGTGTGTGCCCATCCACAGTGTGTAATTATACATACCTGTACGACAATAAGGGTATGCATTCCAGGCTTTCTCATGGATGTTCAGAGCTGAAGATGGAGCCAACATTCTTACGAATGATGGCACTTTACTACAAGAAAATAGAAAACAAACTACATGAGTTTAACTGCTATAATTCCAGCTGCAAGACTTTTGTTGTCCTTGATATACAAAGGTGGTAGAATTTTGGACATCCAGCAAACATAAATCACCAATTTGGGGATGAGAAAGTAGCAAGAAGATAGCCATTGTTGAAAGAAGTTTAAATGGCCACAATCCATGTAGGGGACACTGAAAACATGGAAGAATTAGACCTAAACATGATGTGGGAAGGCATTTTTTGAGCCAGGACAACTGACTTGGACAGAGTGACAGGAACATGGATGGAGCTAAGTATGGGTAAAGATAGGGTGAAAACCTTTTAGATTTGAAACTGGGGCAAAGGTTAATCCTTCAACAAGACGACATAAAACCAGAACTTTAATCAGATTATTTAGATTGAAACATATCCGGGTCTTAGAATGGCCCAGTCAAAGTCCAGACCTAGGTCCAATTGAGAATCAACAGCAAAAATTGAAAGTGTATCTGTGGTCTCTATTTAATCTGTTTCAGCCTCAGTTAATTTCTACCCAACAATTGGGGGTAAAAAACAGTTTCTACATGTGAATGGCGATTCTATCGCTGAATAAAATAACATTCAAAATCTTTCAAATTAGTTACAATAAGGAAGATTAAAAACTCTCACTTTTGTGCACTACTTTGTTCTAGTCCATTGGATTGGAATTTCAGGTACAAACTAAACAAAATGCAAACGCGTTATAGAGACATGACTACTATTATATGGCATTACTAGTACAATGGTATCAATTGCACTATGTTAATGTGCAATTGCACCATCATTAATAGAAAAATAAGAGTCACTGCAAAAAGGTCAATCATACAAAACTGATCTATGGACACGCAACAATCAAAGTGTTTAATGTTTGGCTTTGTTATTTATTTAACATACTTTTGGTTTGTGTCATCAGAATTTTAATATCTCCACCATTGACACACTAATAATAGGCAGTAGTACTGTAATCTGAATAACTGGAACAATATTATTAACCATAGTATATTTAAAAACTTTTCATTAGAGTCAAATAAAGACCAAACTGCTACACTATCTGGTTCAAATAGTGTAGCTAAAGTATTGAGTTCCTGGTGACTGAAAGATGTGGAAAAGGTCTGAGTGGCTATAAAAAAAAGAGAATGGACTGAAGACAGAAAATGATAAATTCATCCTGTGTGAATGTGATATGTGGACTCTCTACAAGACACATTTTCTGGAACACCTCTTGTGAAAATGCTTACCTCTGCAAATGGTAAATTTTGTGTGTGTACTGGCCCTTCTCTCCATCCTTCTCATAGGGTTCATTTTTTAGCACCTCTACTCCTTCGCCTCCGCCCGTCTCATTCTTACTGGCTTCAGCTACAGAGTACAGCTGGCCCACCTGGTACTGAGAAACACAGAACAATGGATTGGACTGTTAATGAAAATCGAGTAAAACAAAAGTCTATAATCACAGGTTATATTTAAAATTAATACCTTGTTTTCTCTCTTATTTTTATTTAATGGAGCTCTGAATCATTTAATCTATTGTTGCAAATATCATAAACTCCTTTCTCGTTCTCCTCATTTTACCTCCTTCTCCATCTTAAGGCTTCGGGTTCAAGCGATTTTAAAACAGAAAACAATGGTTTCCTTTTTTTCTTAATTAGCTCTAATCCATCATATAACCTCAACAAATGTGAGCCTTGGGACAATTACAACAGAGCAAGCATGGAGTGACTCAATGAAGGCTCATTTACTCTATTGTTTTCACAGTTAAGATGTTTGTTTTAATTTTTCTAGCATTTTGAACAGCAACGTTCAAACTATATAAGCACAATTGAGTCAATGCTGGAAAAAAATGAAAATGGTAATAGATTATATACTTTTAGTTAGAAGGTGTGAGGTTGAAGGAATTAAAATAACTTTTCACCCATCTCTTTAATCACAGGCAATTCGAACTCAAAGGATAAAATCTGTTTTCTTTTTTTTCAGAGCAATTTTATTGAATTTTCTCAAACTAAATCAAACTGTGGACATACACTGAAAGATTGAACTAATGGCAGAATGAATAAAGAGGTTGGGTAATTGGCAATATTTTCCACTTGGTTGCAAATAACAGAATACAACAGTTTCCAAGTCACTTACAAATAAAAAATGTTTCTCCCTGGCTCTTTTTCACTCCTGACTCATTCTAAGAGACTTAGTCTGCTGGAGGACAGACTGATCACTTCCTCTACTAATCACCAATTAACAATATATGCTGTTATTTGCTGAGATAAATGAGCCCACAACTAAACTCTCTCCCTCCTGATATTGAGTTTTTACTTTTTATTAATGTACATATACAGGCAATGAACAAACAAAATTGGAATCTGAAAGGTTGATCAGTTCTTGCTGACCTAGTTAGGCAAGACTTTATACAGTTGTGTATAAAGAATATTATCACATTTAAGTGTGCAAAATGTAAGTGGTACACCATTCATTAGATCTTGATTGATTCAATCTTACAAACAGTCTTGAAATGTGTGTTTGCTAAAGGTTATGTGGGTTGTTTATACTTCTTTGCAGATAACAAAAATGTTTTTGTTTTCTGATAACTGGGAAAAAAAGTCTGACTTAAATATTTAGTTTCTGGCACATTTTTATATTAGTTACGTCTTCTGACTGATGCATTTTAATTGAAATTTTGTGTCAGACATGACTAAATTATGAAAGTCAATATTATGAAGACCATTCAGACATTAGCGAAGCTTTTCTATCGCTAGTGGCATCCCTCTAGTAAGCTTCACATGATAATAAAAATACTCAGCAATATAATGACAAAGATTACAAAGAATGAGATTTAGTGACAATACAAGACAGCATAAATGGTCTCTGATTTAGAGGTTCCCATGTTGTTGATGTGATGTGGCACACTGCAGCATTTACTGGTGATTCACACTCATGCTTGAGACCACAGTGTATATGAGCACAGTTTTTCAGATTAAACTGGAATATTTTGCCTGCCTAAAATGACTGTTTTTATACTGTGTATCAAGTGTTCAATTTAAAGTAGCATACATGGGTGGGTGAGCATGTGATGTCATGGAAGTAGTTTCAGATAACTCATCTGCGATGAAGGCCTTAATAGAGGGGGGAAACTACAGTAGAAATAATAATGGTGGATGATAATAAGCTGTTTGTTTTAAAAAGTCATATTTAAAAGAACAGCTTTCAGGGTTCCTATACATTTTGCATCTCAACAAGTCCAACACTTGTCCAGTCTCAAATTTCCAGAGTTATTACTGTGTTTCAGCTCATGGCCTAAAAGTGGAAGTGAATCGGTCGATGGATAGACGGATGTATGGATGGATGGAGTCAGCTGACTCACACACAGATATTGAAGAGTGTTAAACTGCACTTACCTCTTCCACAGAGATGGGAAGAATCACTCGACTGCAAGAAAAAAAGAAGTTATTCAAACAAGGACTCTGAAATTCTAGTTCTCCTAAACATAAATACCATACAAGAGAGCAAAACAACAAAACAGATATATCCATGTGGTCACATACTGAGCTGCTTTAGTCAAACCAGCAACCCAGATTGGCCTAGATTGCAAGTTTAGCCTTGTGAGAAACATGAAGTTGAATCCTAAAGTGTTGTTTCTCTACAAATTAATTTATGACAGTTATCGACCTAAAACTTTACCAAAACTCAGAAACTGAGGAATCAATAGTTCTATCTTAGAACCAAACTGACTAAAAGCAATACATTGATAAATGAATCAGATCACTGCTTTGCAAGAGACAATGAGAATGTTCCTTGCTGAAGCAACATGAGGGTAAAAGAAGCTGAATCTTATAGGCATTTTAATGTTTCAATTAGATTTATGAATAGGTAATGTTCACGCTTATGTTTCAGGCCTCATTTAGCAGAAGTCAATAACAATGCTGTCGATGTGCTGCTTACTTTTCTTTTTAGCTTTTTACGATACGCCTGAAACTGTCAGTAATTCTCTGTTCCGCCTTTGTTTACAAGAGCATGAAGAAGGCTGCTGGCTAACAAATGATCCTAAATGTTACAGATCACCCACAAAATGATGATGTGGCTCTTAGCTAAATGTCCTCGCACAGACATATATATGCAAAAATTAGGTTTTATGCACAAATGATGAATAACACACCTGCAGACAAAGTACATTGTTGGGTGCAGAATTTCTTTGAGAAGGAACAGGAAGATATATTTGCAAATCTGAAATGGTCAAAGTTTCAACTGCCACTAAAACAGGTGACTTATGCAGGACAATTTTACTTTGAGAAGCATTAAAACCCCTGTCACACCATTGAATATATGCTTTACATTTTAATAGTAGGGCTGTGTAATAATATCGATTTTGTGATATATATCGATATTTTCTTCCCTAAAAAAAAATCAATATTTATCCGTAAGTATCGTAACATCCAACTTTCACCTTGCTCACTCACTGCTTGCTTTGCCGGGAGAGTGATTAGGTCATCAGGCTTAGAGTGATTCCTTCAGATGTTAAGTGTCAAGGTTAAAAAAGGTATCAAACTATTCAGAGCAGGGTACTTGGTGCACTTTATTTACTTTACAAATGCATGTAAGCTACAGTTTGTACTGTTTCAATTAAAAGAAGCATGTTTTCTCACCACTTCTTTGATTAATTTTGTCCAGCTGTCGACTTTAAGTCTGTGTCCATGTCCAACCAGAGCCAGGTATTGTGTAGTTGGTGCTTTTAATCAGTTTTCAGTTAAATTAATTCAATCCAAGTCTATAGCAGTCACAAAATGTCTCTAAAATCACTCTGTCCCTCTAAAATCTTTCAGAAAATCGCAAAAGTGTATTGAATTGTATTGTTTGCTGAATAGCGCAATATATATCGTATCGTGAGAAGAATATTGTGTATCATATCGTATCGTGAGATTATTGTATCACTACAGCCCCATTTAATAGTGTGAAGATATGGGTCTTAACATGCTAAATACTCAAGCATTGCCTTTCTATGCATGTTGTGCTGAAAATACTGCTTTGAAATTGTTTAAGTCCTTACACATGTTGTTGCAATATTCCGATAATTCATTTTTCTTTCATCACTAATTTAGTTTACCATTGAGATTTTAATAGGAAGACATTAAATGACTTTAAATAATATACATATTTCACAGACATGACAAAACTTGGTGTTTCACAAAATACACTTTAAGGGTGCGCTAGTTTATGGCAAAAGAGAAAACTGTGTGACAGCATGTTAAGTTTGCAAAAAATTGTGCAAATGTAAATAATGACAGTTTAATTATGTTTGTCAATGTGTAGTTAGTAGAGTAGACTGTGTCAAACAATCCGTCCATCTATTTTATGTTTCTGCAGGTTCATGGTCCCAGTGGGATTGGAAATCTCTGCAGCCATTGATGACAGAAGCTGATTACAGCCTGGACAAGCTGGCAGGTCATTACATGGTCTGAACTTATTTAAAAAAAAAAAAATGTCTGTGAGAAGGTACACGTTTTTGTTTTGGGGGTAAAATTTATGCCTCCGTCCATGAAGCTCTGAACTACAGGGAACAAATAGAATACGAACTATAAATCCCACAGTGCATGGCATCAATGAATTATTTTTTCTTTTATTAGAAAATATAAAATATCACCCAAAGAAGTTGGGTGATAACCAGTAACACCCTAGTTGGGTGTTACTAGTTGGGTGTTACTGGTTAAGTGAGTCTATTGAATAAAGTATTTAAGTAGAAGGTTGGAGTTTTGTTAAATAAACTCTTATGTGCCAACAAACTACAAGAAATAATTACAAGTTTCCTGTAATTATTTTTCAATCTGTGTCAAGTTCGCTGTTTAAAAATGCCACTGCTGGACTTAGTCCTTCATTTGTTGTTATTTTAATACCTAAGACTTAGTACTTAGTATTAACTGACACTGAACATTTTGGCTTTATTTTATTTTTTTATTTATTTGTTTTTTATTTATTTTATTGTTACGGAATTTTATGTGGCAAAAAGGTGATCTGGTACACTTTTACACAAAATGTTGAAGTTTTTCTCTGTAAATTTTTTCATATTTTTCTAGTCAAAATTTTAAACCAAACAGAGTTAAGAAAAATGCATCTGTTCATTATAGATCTCAAGGAGAAATGTCAATTGCTATTACAAACATAGACAATCAAGACAAAGTACGAAAACTCTATAACGCAACATAAGGGATAATCAAAACAAAAAAACCCCTCTGAATTAAGTTCTTCTTTGAAACAGTTTTAAGATAAATTCCTGTTCAGTTTAGAAAACGTAACTAACTTCAGCAGCCACCACACTTTGGCTGCTGAAGGGAGGGATCTTAGTCTAGAATGGTAGCCCACACATTTACATCTAGCAGCAATGAAACATGGATTCATTTATGACAGAATTTGCATTGAGCGTATTTCCAAATTCAGACACCTCATCCGAGGATGTTCCTGCAATTCACAATGCTTCCACCGTTAAAACGCACTGCTCTGCTTCCGTTCTCTGACCTGTCTGCATCTCATGCCACTCTATGCCCGCGTACAGTATGCAGCTTTGTTGATTTTGTTCTGTGAGCATGTGAAGTATGCCAAAATTCCCATAATCCTACACCCACCTGCCACTTAATGTAATCTGGGTCCAACAAAGGCGCTCACTGAATAGTAGGCCATATGCTGCTGCAGTTTACAACTGTTCATTGCAAAAATATTTTATTGCTCTTTCTTAAAAGATGCACCTCATATAACACTTTTTGCAAAGTATCTGTTTCAAAACTCAGAATTTAATTCTAAAATGAAAAACAGGAACTGAAGATTTTTATTTCCTGTCTTTGGAAGTCTCCTTAGTCCAAAGGTCTTGAGGGATCATGTGTCTCTCTGTGGCTTCAGGAAACAAACACCCCTTCTACATTGCTCATCTTATATGTCCTTGTAGTTTATTTCTCTTTCTCTTTTCATCCTCTTCCCTCTTTCAGCTTCTACATAATTCGCTTTATTGCTTTACATATTGCAAAGAGAATTATTTATTATTGTATCAGCACCAAAACCTACTGGGAAATAAGGAAATAAAAGGAGATCTAGGTCAGTGTCAGGTAAGGATCACTAGGTCACAAAGCACCTGTAAGACTTGACTCCTGGCATCCGTGATGGTTTCCTGTTATAGTGGATGCACAAGTCTCTTGCCTGTGTGTTGACAGCGTGTAGAAGCTTTTAGCCTTTAATCGTAACCAATTTAATTAATATCCAGGCTTACTGCAGAGGGCCTGACTCTCCCTAATCACTTCAGATCTTTGGCCATGCCACCACTCTGATCTGCGGCTTTTTGCTGACATTCATTGATTAAATACATGTGATAGGAAATCAACACAACGATTGTAGGTGATTAGTCTCCAACGCACAGAGCAGTGTTCACACCCACCGAACTTCCTCGGATTTCCCCACAAACGTCAATGGACTTACTTTGGATTTTGTGAGGGAGCATAAGTCAAAACATTACATGAAGTAGAATGATGATGAAATTATTGGTGTGCATGTGTAGTCAGTTGCAGAGTGAACATTTTGCCCATGGTAACTCGGAAGGAGCTCCAGAGATCCACAGCTCAGGTGGGAAAATCTGTTGCCAGGACAACTACTTGTGATACATCACAAAAATACTCAGTATTATAGAAGACTGACAAGAGGTCATTGTGAAAAACAAATGACTTCTGAACTTTGCCACATAGAAAGCACAAAAAATATGAGTTAGAAGCTAATCTGGTCAGGTGAAGCCAAAGTAAACTTGTTTGTCTTCATGCATAAGAAGACAAACAACTGTGTGGGGCGGAACACTATCATCCTGAATAAACCATTCCCACTGTGACACTTTGTGGTGGCAACCTCATGCTGTGGAAATGCCTTTTCAGGAGAAACGGGAAAGAGTTGTTTCCCGAATGGAGCTATTTGCAGGGCAGTACTGGATGAAACGTTGTTAGAAGTTGAAGTGGTGATCCATGCAGCACGCTGACCTTAAGCATCCAGTCAGAACTACAATGGAGTGGTTTAGAAAAAAGCTTATTCGTGTTAGATTGGCCCAGTCAAAGTCCAGACATAAATACAGTCGAGAATCAGTGTAAAAATTCAGACTGACCTTAACCAATAATTCAAAAAAGAATGAGAAAAGATTGCAGCCTTTATTGACTAAAAATTGAAAAAAGTCTTAAACCATCAAAGTTATGCACAACTTTGTCTTGGTATGTCGCAAAAAAGCCGAATGAAAAACTTTTTGCTTATGAAAGGAGAAAATGTGAAAAGATTCAGAGAGCTTTAATACTTTCCAAGGCATGGTAAGTCTGTTGGAAGTGGATTTTTTTTCTTGTAGCTTGGTGTTCAGAAAGTAGCTGTGACCTTGCCAAAGTTGCAATGGGAAAAAATATAGTGTTTTAAATACAATATTTAGAAGAAGGTCCTTTATAATGTATAAAGGTTATCAGAGCGACATTTTCTTCAGTTGCAAAAAGAATTTGCTGTAATGAAAACATAAATATAATTTTGGATGTCTTCAGTATTAATACCTGAGTATTTTAATTTCAATTCCAGTAACATCCTACTTTGCCAGCATTGCATCCTTCTTGCCCTTCTGATTATGAGCAAAGGCCTCAATCCGTTCTTCTATAAAGAACAGAAAGTCCTTGCGAGGGGTGGAGGGGTAACATTGTGTTAAAACAATGCAAAACAATGAATTAAAAATATCCTTCTTCCTCTTAGCAGGCACAGATTAATATGCCACTGCTTCCCTTCGGCCCAACATCTGACACACACCTCGCCATTTGCCCTTTACGCCGCCTCCTCTACACCTGCCCACCCCGCACCTTATCCTCTCCAAGCATCCCCTCCACCCCGGGCCATCCAACACCTTCTTCATTCCTCCAGAGCTAAACGCCGGAATGCTCCATCGCTAGTTTCACCTTCACCAGAGCGCATCAATAACATGGCCACAGCGGCGCGGGCACGGCGCAGCGCGGCAGAGCACGGCACGGAGCGGCTTATGCCAGCCATTTCTGCCCCATCACCAGCATCCGTCATTTTAGCAACACTGACAGAGAGAATTAAGAGCTAGAACTTGTGATGAAGGATGTGAAGGGCACAGGGAAGCACCGGCTGCAGTTGCATCAGCTGCCGACACTGTTCTATCCCTCAGTTGACTCTGCGTGATGGAAGGAATCTGATCTTGGACATAAAGTCCTTTGGATGTCGACATCCCTCCGGACGCGCTCTCCTAATTCCCCTCCCGGGCTGCTGGCCACAATGTCAGCAGCTCTGCGAAACCGCATCAACGCTCTGTCACGCAAACGCACACGCACGCACAGACTCCATCGTGCACACACTGTTTTACTTACTATTCCTTTATGAGCATCTTTGTGTTATTTCAGCGGTGCAGTGGAGCTATATCCCAGACAGGCGCCGCTCCCAAACGGATCCAGAAACAGGGTCGGATTCCTCCCTCCGTTTATATAGTCGCCTTTATTTATCCGCTCGATTCTCTCCCACCTCTCTCCCCCCCTCTCTATATCATTCTACCTCCACAGTCGCTTATTTTCTTCAGATTCACTTCCTGATCGGGGCCGCGGCGCGGCGTTGCTGCTGCTCTGCTGCTGCGGCGCGCAGTTCACCGAAAAAAAAAAAAAAAAAAAGGGCGCTGCGTGAGGAAACGAACGCACACTGAAAACGATGGTTCACCCGGAGAATGATCTGCGGTGCACCCGCACGGCCCACAGGTGACAAATGACACGGCTGCACAAATTAAAGCTTTGGACATTTATTTAAAATGTGTTTGTTTGTTTTTTTCCGGTTGAATATGAAATTGCTAAACAGATACATGAGGAATGAAAAAAAAGAAAGAAAGAAGAAAAAAATAATTAAACAAGGAAAGAAAAAAGAAAGAAAGGAAGAAGAGAATAAAAAGATCTGTAAATTGGAATTACTAAATTGTCTTAGCTCTGAGCCATTTCTTAATAAAATAAATATAGCCTACTTGTTAATAAAACACACTTTTTATTGAGAAATGACAGCATAAATGCAAGACATCAATATAACCTCTGTCCACGCAGTGGTCACAGGAGCTTTCCTCTCACCTTTTTTACTAAGAGTGTGCAGCTCACTGCGTCATCGTGACAGCGGTGACGTAGAAGCGCGATTCAGCGTCAAAGGATGAAACGGGGACCACCGCTGGCAGGGACCAGACGCTCTCTAAGCCCTTTTAACGAAGTCCTCGCTTCTGATGGGATTATCTCCCACTGCTGTGTATCCTGACACCATTTCTGCTTTACAGACACCTTTATTACCTTGCATAGGTGGTACGTAAGCCTTGTCACTGAGGCAAAGCTCCAATAAACATCCTAAAATAATTATAAATGAAAGACAAAGACCGAACCATAATTCTTTGGCCGTGCTTTGTTTCCCAACACAGGGGGGCTGTAGTACAGTACAAGGGATTCCAGGTCCCTAATCTCGACCCACTTCCTGAATATCACGGGATGTGGAAGCTATGTGAGTTTAAAATTATGTAACAGCAAGCTGGAGCTGTATTTATAGCTCATGTCTCCATTTGACAACAACCATATATCCGCTTCTGGCTCTTGTAGTTTGTTTTAAAGATACATCTTTCAGTTTATCCTGTGCCGACATAATCTTGGTTTTATAGCTCATGTCCAATGAGATAATTCTACATGCGAGGTTTTTGTTATACAGTGCCTTGAAAAAGTATTAATAACAGCTTATATATTTTATTTTACAACCACAAACCAGTTTATGTTATTACAATTGTAAGTGACACACAAACACAAAGTAGCATATATGTGTACAGTGCAATTAACGTGATGATTCTCAAATGTTTAAATCATTTTTTAAGACTTATCACGAATTCTCAGATGGATTCCAGTCTGAACTTTTAGTTGGTCATACTGACAAATAAACATACTTTGATCTAACCATCCTTTTGGTTCTTCAGCGGTATTTGGGATGATTAGCAGTGTTAGTCGTCCCACACTGTCTTCCAGAATTTAGACCAAAAAGTTACAGCAGCTCCTCTACAGCTGAATTAAATATATAAATTAAAAAATATAGTCAAACTCTTGGCTGCTTCTCTGCCAACAGAAAGTGATGGATGTCCATTGAACAGTTCTCAATGATGAGGTCTTCAAAGTTGTGGATATTGTTTTTATTATTATTATTATTTTGACTGCTTGAAAAACTCCTTAGATCTGCTATAGGACTTGAGAATTTATTTCTATTGTTCACCATGCATTACCATTATTATGCTAGAT